TCCTCCTTCCTCTCCAACTCCCCCCCCCCTGTTTCCTCTTGTCCCAATCATGGGCGCGCGTGCCCCAGAGTGTGTTTCTGTGTTCCCCAGCCTTCGCTGTCCGTTGTCGTTGTTCTCTCTCTCTCTCTCTCTTGTTCTTGGTTCTCCTGCCTCCTCCCCGCCGCATCATTTGCCCTCCTCCCTCGCCCTCGTCTCTCGTTCACGACTTCCTCTCTCCACCTCCCGCATTCTGTGTCGGCTTCCCAACGCTGCAAGACGGCCCAAGAGGTCCCCAAGACAGCACCAAGACAGCCCAAGAGGTCACCGCGATTGCCCGAAGACGACGCAAGAGAGCGCCAAGTCGGCCCCAAATGCCACCACGACGGCCCAAGAAGCCCTCAAGACGGCCCCAAGACAGGGGCAATAGCAGGGATCCAAATCGACACTTCGAGTCCAGATGCCAAAAGCCCCGGGGAGGCCCCCGAAGCACCCTCAAAAAGTTTGAAAGAGGCTACCAGGAGACTCAAAAAAACTGGGGATGTCCCACCCCCTAAGAAACCCCCAAGAGCCCCCTAAGAACGTCCTCCAAAGGCATCCAAAAAGACTCCCAACACGCTTTTGCCAGGCTCTTAGGGGTTCTCTGACATCCTTCCTTAGGTTGCCCCGGGTCCTCCTCTTGGATGCCTTGCGCGACTTCTTGGAGCCTTATTCAGCGCCTCCTGAAGCATCCACCAGGAAGTACTTGTGAGGTCGGCTTGGGCTGCGCTAGAACCTAAGCACGCGCGAAGCGCGCGCGCGTGGTTCTAGTACACACGCATACATACATGTGTATGTATGCATATGTATAGTGTGTGTGTGTGCAGTGTGCCTGCGAGGAGCACATGGCGCATGCCCGACCACATCGGGTAGTGATGAATCTATTGCGCGGGTGTCGGGAACCGGGTGCGCTCGTTCGAAATGACGTGCGTTTGTTCGGGCGTCTGTCCAAGGAACAGACTTGCGCTTGCTCGGGCGATGGCCCGCATCAGATCTTGATGCCCACCTCTGCCGCTGCGCATAAAGTCGGCGTTGCGCGCCATGTCTCGACACTGCAATCTCGCCCGCCATGTGCCACGGTTGTTCCACTCAGGCTGGCGTCCGGGAGGAGTCCCAGGATTGACCCTCCTTCTCCATCTTTCTCTCTTGCCTCCCTGCCCTTATCTTCCCTTCTCTTCTCCCCCGGGTCCGCTGTTCCCTCGCCTCCTGCATCCGGGGCCCCCCTCTTCGCCCGCGTCGTCCGCGCGGGACGGGGGGATGAGGAGAAGGAGGAAAGCGCTCCGCCTCCCCCTCCTCGCCAAATTGTCGCCTCCCTCGTCCTCACGACACTTTGGCGTGGAACTCTGTCCTCGGGGGCGCAACCAGCCTCTATCTCCCTTGGCCCCTGGCAACGGCAAGGAATCCGATTGGCCCGACGCTTGATTCTTATCAAGTTCCCCGCGGCACATCCGCCATCGTGCTGGTGAAGCGCTTTGCGAAACGATTCTTCGAGCACCGCCCGAAAGACCGTCGCACGTGACACGTCTTCGTCTTCAATGTGGAGGAGCTCTGATGTGGCTTATTTGGAAAGTTTTGGGCTGATTTGGAAGCCTGTGGGGCAGCATTGAAGACCCCATTGGGCCATCTTCGGTCGTCTGGGGGCCCTTTTGGACCTTCTCGGTGTTCTCGAGAGCCGCCTTGAGCTAGTTGGGCAGCCTTGCAGTTATCTTGACCATCGTGGTGGATTCTTAGGCCGTCTTGGGTTCTTCCGGCATCTGGAGGCTCATTTGGCAATTTTGGGGTTCTCTTGAGGCTGTCTGGGGCGTTCTCGGCGTTTCCAGTGGGTATCCCCCAGGGTCTGGAAGGGAGCAGGTGGGAAAACATCAGACCAAAGAGCATGGAAAGCGAAACACATTCACCACCATACGGCGGATCAGTGGTTTTGCATTCCAGAGGCCCTCTTGGAAAGTGCCCTGAGGGTGTCTTGAAGCCTCTTGGAGGCCCCCTGGTACATACGGGGACAATGTTGGGCAGTCCTGTTGGTCTTGGTGGCCTTTCCCGGCCGTCCTGGGAAATTCGGAAAGCCTTGCAGAGCGTCAGGGAGGCCGCCCAGGAAACCTTGGGAGAGGGAGGCAGTGCATGCCATAGTTTGCATCGAGCAACGGGGTGGGCCCTCAGAGGACGTACGCCTCAACGTGCCAGGGCACACGGTGGCGTATACAGGGAGGAGGAGAAGAGGCCGGTCACGATCCGATTCGATGCGATGAGATTCGCCCGCGGTTGCCGAATCCCCGTCGGCCAGGCAGCCCCCAGCGTTGCAACTCAAGCGCTGGAGCCGCAGCCATGGCGCAGTCGAACTCTCCCTTCTCGCCCGACGTCCCGCCCGTCGCGGCCAGCAAGCGGACGGGCGCACCCCTTCTCTTTGGAGTTGGCGCTGGACGAGGAGGATGACGAAGAGGAAGAGGAGGAGGAGGAGGAGGAGGAGGTGGAGAAGGAGGAGGACGAAGAGGAGGAGGATGACGAAGAGGAGGACGAAGAGGAGGAGGAGGAGGAGGAGGAGGAGGAGGAGGAGGAGGGGGAGGAGGAGGAGGAGGAGGAGGAGGAGGAGGAGGAGCAGGAGGACGAGGATATCTCTTTCTCCCTCTCTCTCTCTCTACACCTGGGTCAGCTCGAGTTCGTGCCTCCACGCCGCCCGCGGGCGGGCGTCTAGGGCGCAGCCTCGATCGTGGGCTCGGCCGCGGCGCCTTTCTTCCCGTCCCCCGGGGTGCGTTGAGCCCCGGAGCATCGAGTCGGGGAAACGTAAAACTCGAGTACGCCGGAGCTCGGGTTCGCCGACGTTTTTTGACGCGCGCGTCCTGGGTCCTTCGCGGTCCAGTTTTCGTGGGATGTCTGCAGCGTCATTTTGGGCCTCGTCATTTTTCTGACGGCCCCGTCAGGCCAATCCGAGTCCCCCGAACCCGAGTCTTATAAGTCCACCCGACAGAGAGCCGCGTAAAATATAAACGTGCGACGGTCCGTGCGGATCTCTTGGATCTGCGCTGCGCGCCCCCTTGGCGGCGCCTCCGGCGCCGCTCTCGGCGCAGCCCGCGCGCCAGGGAGGTGGGCCCAGCGCCGATCCAAGAAATCTGTGCGGACCTCTGAAAGCTTATGCTTCTGCCATGTTCGCTCCTCTGGCCACATGTTTCGTGCCATGTTTCGCTGGCTTCTGCCATTTGGAAATTGTACTCGTTCTGTGCTCGTGCCACGCCATCGCCATTCCCAGCCCTGGGATGGTGTGTCGAGGAGCCGCTTCTTCTTGCCCCCCCCTCCTCCCCTCCCACAGTCGACGCGCCTAGTAAGGACGCGCGCCTTCATCTAGGGACACCTCGTGTCATTGCCTCTGCGGTCCGTCCTTTCCTGTTTTCACTGGTCGCCCGCCGCCCAAAGAATCCCATTTTCGGCCTCCAAGGGTTTTCCGTCCTTGCCACCCGTCCTTCAAACACGTTTTGACTGCACTTTCATGACCCCCCCCCCTATTCTGGTTGCCCTAGGGCTCGCTCACGCGCGTAAGAAACAGAGACGAGGGTCGAGGCCAAGTGGGCACGCGCGGCAGTGCGCCCTCCCGGGTCCCGGGCACATGGCCGCCGCGGCCAGGAAGGACTCCGCCGCCGGCCCCCCCCCCCCTACGAGCGGAGATCTCGGCGACGCCCCTCTGCGCAGCCGATCCCTTTCACTACGGCGAGAGCCACATTTTGAAAACCAACCGCCCTCCATCCACTCTCTCCGCGGCTGCTATCAGCGAGCGCCGCCATCCGCCCCCGGGCCGGCCGGGAGAGGCTGCCGCCGGCAGAGGCACCCTTCTTGAGCGTGTGGTCGGATGCGTGCTGGCCCTCCGCCGCTTTTTTTTGTCTGCTTGTCTGCGTCGGTGCGCGGCGGCAGGGGCGGTCCGGCAGTCAAGCGCGGAGTGAAGAAGATGCAGGCGTGAAAGTCAGTGGGCGGGGCGGTGAGGCGGGGGATGCAGACGTGGAGGTGGAGGGGGAGCAGGATCAAGAGGAGAAGGATCAACGGGAGGAGGAGGCGGAGGAAGGGTTGGGGGAGAAGCAGGATGGGGGAGCAGAGGGTGGGTGAATAGGAGGAGGCGGAGGATGGGATTCGACACCCCTCTCGAGGGATCGTTGCTACGATGGGTTCCCCAGGGGGGTAAGGAACACAGCTTCCCCAGTTGTGGCTGATCGGTGTGGGGCCAGTTGTCCGTCGCCCCCCTTCCCGCGCTTGGCTCTCCGGAGCGGAGCTGCCGGCCCGACCGACACGGGGCGAGAAGAGGCGCCCCGATCCTCACGCTGAATGCTGCGGGTGGCTGCGATTCGGTCGGTTTGGCTGCGTCGCAGTCGGTTGCATCCGATCGGTTCGGCTCGGTCGGCTGTCGTGCCGCTGCCGCGTCGCTGCGCCCTTCCAGGCCGCGTCTGGCAGATGCTGTCGCTGCCGGCGCTTCGGCTTTTGCCTCGCCATCGGCTCGGGTGGTTTTAGGCCTGTGTTGTTGCCGTGGACGCCCTTGGCATGGCAAGGCCATGACCGCAGGCTGTGGTTCGAGCGCTGGGCGACCCGGGAGAGGGCCGCCCGTGTGTCAAGCAGTGGCGAAGCGTCGTGGCTCGCAAATAGCCCTACCAAACAATGTTCTAAGAACCTTTTGTGGTTTCCACGACATGTTTTTAGAACATTTCTGGCGGAGTCTGTCTTGTTGTACCACATCGGGTTTATGTTCTAAGAACATTGTTTTTGTTTTACGAACATGTCGTGGTAGGACTATAGGAATGCCGGAACGGTCGGTCCCTGCTCAAGCGTGGGCGTCTGACTGCTGAGGACACACTCGGCCTTAGGACAAACACGAAAGAGTAACACGCTGCCGGGCTCCCGACGGCAACGTGCCATTGGTACATCTTTTGCCTGCCCGAGCTTCGGCGCCAGCCCCTCTGTCGGCTCGGCCGGTTCTCGGCTCGTGTTGTCGCCGTGGACGCCCTCTGACCGCAGCCACTGGCTCGGTTGCTGGGCGGCGCGGGAGGAGGCCGCCTGGGCCTAGGCGAGACCCTGGACTGCCGCCAGCGATGGACCAGCCATGTGCGACCCTGCGGCGCCAGGCGGCGGCGCCCGGGCCCACTGGGGCGCCGTTCTGGAGGAGCCAGCTGCACGCAAGAGTGGCCCTTCGCCAGAGCGTCTAAGTTGGAGCAGTGGGTCTGGCGCAGCCTGGTCGGCGGCGAGAGGTGCAATCGTTCCTTCACGTGTGTGCTATTGCGGGCACTTGTGCGCAACAATCGCGGGGGGAGGGCGCTAGTGTTTGCACGGGAGGCGCATCCACGCGCGACTACTGATCCAGCGCGCAGGATCTTTCATCCAGGCACCACTTATAGCAAGTACTATCCAGCTGCCTGCGGCAAGCCCCGTCACCGTGCCAGCCAATGCATTCTGGGTGGCGACTGTACACCGACGCACAGGCAGCCGTCACGTGTGACACTTTGTGTCTACAGGCTTTGCAAGGCCGTGATGACGACGATAATGATATTGATGATGACGATGATGGTGATGAGGATGATGATGATGATGCTGATGCTGATGATGATGATGATGATGATGATGATGATGATGATGCTGATGCAAACGATGACGATGTTGTTGATGATGATGATGATGATGATGATGATGATGATGATGATGATGATGATGCTGATGCTGATGCTGATGATGATGGTGATCAGGAGGATGAGGATGAGGATGCGGATGAGGATACGGATGAATGCGAGAATGAGGGTGAGGAAGACGATGCTGATGATAATGATGCTGAGGATGATGATGCCGCTGCTGGTGATGATAATGATGACGCTGATAATGATACTGATGAGGATAATAATTGTGTTGATGCCGATGTTGATGCTGATGCTGGTGATGATGAATCCGATGTAGATGACGATGATGATGACGATGCTGATGATGATGCGAATGATGATAGTGATGATGATTGTGTTGGTGATGTTGATTTTGATGGTGGTGCTGATGCTGTTGTCGTAGATGATGTCTAGGAGGTTGATGGGAATGGTCATGCTGCTACTGCTGCTGCTGATGATGTTGTGGATGAGAATTGTGATGATGATGATGATGATGATGATGATGATGATGGTGCTAATGCGAATGATGTTGATGATCGTCATTCTGCTTATTCAGATGAGCATGCTGATGATGATGACGATGCTGGTGATGCTGATGATGGTGATGCTGATGATGCTGATGCTGATGATGGTGGTGATGATTATGGTGATGAGGTGGGGATGGTGATGGTGATGACGAACATGATTATTATCATGACAATGATGATAATGATGATGATGATGATGATGATGATGATGATGATGATGATGATGATGATGATGATGATGATGATGATGATGATGATGATGATGGTGGGGGTGATGATGCGGTGGTGGAGGGGGAGGAGGAACACGTGGAGCAGGAGGAGGCAGTCGAGGGAGACCGTCACATATGACACAATTCGTCGTCATCATTTCAGGGGCTATCATGGAACTCGTTTGGACCGACTTGCGGCTGTCGGAGCCTCCTGTGAGGCAGTCTTGGGGGTCTTCTGGGGTCTCTTGAGCCCTGTTGGGTCCCTCTCGGGCCGTCACGGGGCTCTCTTGGGTGGGTGCTTGGGGGCCGTCTTGGCGCCGTCTTTGGGCGTCGAAGGGCATTCTGAGGCCGCCTGGTGCCCCATGGGAGCGCATCGTTGGGTCCTCTTGGGCCATCTGTGGTCCGTCGTGGGGGCCTTTTGGGCAGTCTAAAGGCTATCGTGGGGTCGTATTGTGCCGTCCTTACCTGACGGACGCCCGAACGGGCGAGAATTCGAACATCATTCAAGCCTGGAAATCATTGATTTGGGCTTCTTCGGGCCCTACTTGAGGTTCTCTTGGGGTCCCTTTGGGCCCTCTTTGAGGCATCTTGGGACGTCTTGTGGCCATATTCGGCCGATTTAGGAGCATCTTGGCCCGTCTTCGAGGCATACTTGGCAATCGTGGTTGCCTTGGTTGCCTGCCTGGGCCGTCCTTGAAGCTCGGGACGCGGATGCATCTTTTTTGATGAGGGGTCGTGGCATCGGGAGCGCGGATATCTTGTTTTTGTTTCTGTACCAGGTACCGTTACCTCGGGACCACACGGGGTGCATGCCTTTGTCTGCGACTTGGGGGAGGAGGGGCCCTTACTTAGAGCAGCAGATGGCATTTTAATACACTCGCCGAGTGCAGATACGGTGGCGGATTGCACCTCCCTTTGCAGACCAATCTGCTCCAGACCCATCTCTTCGGTTTAAATAGTGACCATTTGGTGCACGGGCAGGGTTACGTTTTCGGGCCATGGCTCGGTTAGTGTTCGGGTTTCTCGGTCCCGCTTCGTTCTTCTGCGCTAGGGCCAGGGTTGCAGTTCTCATGCGTTTTCGTCAGCTCATGTTGCGCAGGGATGCGTTCCAGCAGCCACGCATCGCCAAGAGCGTTCTGGGGGTGCCCGAATCGTTTTGACCAGCTTTGACCCGAAAATCGAGTGACTTTTCGCCAGGGTCACCTTTGGTGGGCGTCTTTCGTTGGCGTCGTCGAACCTCGGCCCAGGAATGGTACGGTGCACAGTCTCTCAGGCTCTTTCCTTTCCGATCTGCTATATCTATGCAGCGTACCGCGATGGAGCGGGGCCTGACGGGGTTCCAAAATTGGGGGCCGATGGTACGGGTCCAGACATGGTACGGTCCAAACATGGTACGGGTCCAAACATCGTACGTTTTTGTTCGGGGGGGGCGCGGGGGAGCAGGGGGGGCAAACCCACCAAGCGCGCGGGCCGCCGTTGTCGCTCTGCACGCTGCGATCCGCGAGCCGCGCACCAGAAACCACTCTTCAGGAGCGAAAGATGTACATGAACCACGTTGGTTTCGAAAGTACCCATTACGCGAATGTGATTATTGCGAGACTGGTCTCGCGGACTGGGGGGCCGTATTCATATAGTACGTCTTTTGTGGGCTCCCAAATTCTCGCCCCCGGGGCCGCTCCCGCGTGCAGCTGGGAGGAGCTGCAGTCCCGCCAGAGCATCTCGGCCGTGGTCAACGCCCTCGCGGCCCCCAGCGGCCTGGGACTGGAGGAGGCTCGAGCGTTGCGTCATGGGGGGGCGGTGAATGGCGCGTGTGTGTGTGTGTGTGTGTGTGTGTGTGTGTGTGTGTGTGCGCGTGAAGACTTCGCTGCCTCGATGCGCCCGTTTTGAAACGCAACACGCACCGTGCTCAAACCGTGTCACTTTGGCTCAGCGTACTGGTCTGCGTTTCGGCAGACGTGTTCGTACCGCGTCATACGCACGTTTTCAGTCTGCGTGTTGAGCTCCGTGCCAACTCAGAAGGCGAAAAGTCCCCCCCACCCCCAATCCCGACTCCCATCCCCAAGCCGGCGATTCAAGGGGTCGGGGCTGGGGGTGGGGGTGGGTTTTCTCCATTCTTGGGCCCCAAAAAGCCACCCCCACCCCCAGTCCGGACCCCCTGGGTTGCGGGTTCCAGGATGGGGTCGGGACTGGGGGTGGGGGTGGGTTTTCGCTCAGGTTGGAGGCCCAAGAATGTGCCGCACCCCCACCGCCTGGTGGCGTACCAGGGCAGCGAAAGGTGAAGGGTGTGCGCCGTAGGTTGCACCGCAAGGGTCCCTAAAAAAACGGGACCCCCTTTTGGCTCGGGGGTGGACAGAACCCCCAACAGTGACACGTCGATTAGTGAATTGTCAGTTTTCGGTTCTCGAGAAGGCGCCGTGGCCGTTATTTTTCAGGCTTGCGCCCGCCAGGTTTGGGCCTCAGGTCGTTTTCTCTAAACCACATTTTACTAAAGGGGAGTCTGTCCATCCCCGATTGGCGCCCAGAAAGGGGCACGGGAGGCCCCCCCCCCCCCTTTTCCCCGTCTGCTGGGCATCGCGCTCGGACGTGTGCACTTTCTCTTCGGCGAGGGCACTCGAGGAGTGTCCAGGGTCATCGAGCAAACAATCACGCACGAATCCGAAAAAGTCACGGGTAATGGACGTCCGAGCGATGGCAGGTTTGTCGCCACCCACCCACCGAGCAGCGCCCAAGAGGCGCTGGAGCTTTGGGCCGAGAGCGAACGGGCCGCGCTGGACGCCGTGCCGGAGGTGTACTTGGGCCCCGTGCCGGAGGTGGGCGACTTCGAGAGCTATTTGGAGTCCTTCGAGAAGGACAGAGTGCTAGGCCTTTCAAACGTCGGCGGCGAGCGAGGGGGGGAAGTGAGAAGGAGAAGGCCTTCTCAGACGGCGGCGGGGCTTCTCAGAGGGCCCCGCGCCTTCTGAGAGGTATTCCGCGTCTTCGGGGAAGCCTTAGGGCATGCCTCAGGAGGCTGGGGGACCTCCGAGACTTCCGAGAAGGCGTTCTCCTTGTCGCTTAGACTTTCCAAACGGGGTCCGAGTAGACCAGGTCGAAGGATCACGCCGCATCCCCGATGCGCTGGCGATGCGTCGGCGATGTGGAGCCCGATATTTTTGCACGTCGACGCCGCTAATGCATCGAAGACGCATCGGCGGTGCGGCGTGATCCTTGGACCCCATCTAATCGGGTTCCATGTGGGAGGCCTCTTAAAGTTCGCGTAAGAGTCAAGCAGTAACAAATTGTCCTGGCTTGCCCAAACGCCCACCGACACATGTGCTATTGACCCCTTGTGGTTTGCACAACATGTTCTTAGAACATGTCTGGCCGAGGCAGTCCTGTTGTAAGACACTATTGATTCATGTTCTAAGGTAACTCACAGCTTGTGACATTAGAACATACCTTTGTTCTGGGAGCATGCCGTGGTAGGCCTGTAGGAACACCGTTACGGCCGAAAGAGTTGCTTTTCGCCTCTGTCCGTGTGAATAGGACGTCCTCCTTCGTTCTCTCGGATCAGGGTCGGCTTGCAGGGCTTTGGGGCGTTTTCGTCGGTTTCTGAAGGTCCCCCTGCCCCGGGATGCGTTTCTCAGCAGCCGGTTCCTCGCCGAGCCCTTCGGCACGGATCGTGCCGAGCGGTTGTTGGACACCCCCCTTTTTCGGATTTTTGCGGGGGGTGCTGGGGGGGTGGCCGACACGGGTGGGATGGGTACGGAAGGAACGGGGACAAAGACTGACAGCCGGGATCGTTAGCTGCCCGTGCCATTGAAGCAGGGCATTGGTACCCCATTCATAAGCTATGTAGGTCAGGTCTGGTATGTCCCACCTTATCATCCTATTGGAGATGCCTTACGGCCAGTGTTGCCGATCCTGAACGACGACGACGACGATGCTGACGTGGGTCAGACTTGGGGTCTCTTCGGAGCGCTCTCGGGTGCCTATGGGGGGTAAATTTGGGGCCTCTTGGGAGCCTCTTGGGGCCTGTTGGGAGGCTCCTGGGGGCCTCTTGGTGCTTTCCGGGCGCATCTTGGGAGTTTCTTTGGGGCGTCTTGGGGACTTCTTGGCGCTTCCTGGGAGCCTCTCAGGCCGAGGGCTCGAAATGTCTGTTCGGGTCCCCCGTCTGGGCAATCTCGTGGAGCCGTCTTGGGGGCCTTTCGGGCCGTCTTGGAGGCCTCTTGGGCTATCTTGGGGCGATCTTGGGGGCCTCGTGGGCCGTCTTGGAGCGTCGGGAAGCCGAAAAGGCGAGAATCCCCAAATCCATCAAAACCTATGGAAAATCAATCAATGTTGCCTCTTAGAGCCCTCTTGGGAGTGCTCTTGGAGGCCTCTTGGGGCATCTTGGAAACCTCTTGTGTCGTCTGGAGGCTACTCTGGCGTCTTGGACCGGTAGTTTTGCGATTCTGGGCCATCTTGGACCGTCTTGGGAGCCTCTTGGGGCGGTCTTGGTCCGTCTTGGGGGGCTTTGGGCTTTGGGACCCCGAGGGGGGGAGGGGGGGGCATTCTGACCCGGGCCCCCCCCCCTCCCGGCGGGGAAGGAATCAAGGGAAGGGGCTTCCCTTCGAATGAATTTCGACGTTCGTTGTTGTCGTTTTGGCTAGCACGTTTGAGGAGAAAGGCCCAGGGTAAGAGAGGCAACGGCTGGCGCGATGTAGAAGGAGACCCAGGAGAAAGCCTGGAATGGCGACGGCGGCGACGACGACGACGACAAGGAGACGACGAATGGAACAGCGACGAACGAAAGAGCTTCTTCCGCATGCCGACGGGGTCGGCGGATTCTAGCCTCAATGTTCCCTTAGCGCCCCCTGCGGCGACACGAGTGTTCTTTTACAGCCGGGTGATCCTTCGCGGGGGTGACCTTTGATGCTGTGCGGGCTCTGGGGAAACAGCCCTCGCTCGACAGCCTCGACGGCCGCCCCTCCTCCTCCTCCTTCTCCTCCTCCTTCTCCTCTTCCTCCTCCTCAGGGAGGAGGGAGGAGGGAGGGCGGGAGGGAGGGAGGGAGGGAGGGACGGAGGGAGGGAGGGTGGCGCGGGGGGGGGCTCGTCGCAGAGCCTGCAGCGATTGGCGAGCCGCGCACCGAAGGCCACTCTTACCCCAGGGCCCACTCCTGCGCGCGATGCGCCGCAATTGCTCGCATTCCGTGTCGCCTCGAAGGACAGCAGGCTCAGTGGAAGGATGGTGCAGCAGTGTGCGCAAGATGCGAGGCGATCGTCGCCTGTCTGGGGATCACTTCGCTCGGGGCCGCGTTTGTCGTCGGCCGGCGATCCTCACTCCGAGGTGGCAGTCTGCTGGTTGACCCAGGGGCAACGATACGGGGAGATCAGTTCAGGGGGGGTTGCGTCAATCCTCAGTCGCCCCTTCATCGCCGATAGGAGCCTGAATGCTCACCCCACACAGCAGCGTTTGGATTTGCTATCGGGAGCCCATCGCCCATCTGTGGGCGATGTATCGCCGATTCCAGCTTGATGTGTGCCATCCCTGAGTTGGGCCCCCCGTATTGCTGCCCCTCATTGACACACATACGAGTTCTTGCGGGATGCCGCAAGGAGTGGGGCGTCTACCACAAGTACAACGGCGGCCCTTCTCTCCGGAGGCGCCAGGCAGAGGGCGCGGAGTGTCCAGCCGGGGAAGCCTTGTGCCCCAGCGTGCCGTCGGAGTATTTCAAGACGAGTTTCAAGCTCGCTGGGCACCGACTGTTTCACGATCTCAGGTTCGGTAGCAAACCATGGGAGCCTTGTAGGTCTTCGACCTCCCGCCTTCAGATTCCATTTGCGTGCGCCAGCGTCCGGTAATTGACGAGGAAGCGCCGGTTTGGCGACGTGTCGCGTCGACCAGCGTCGACTGCGCGTCGTTGCGCGTCGATTAGCGTCGGTGAGCGTCGATGCGCAACTGCGAGCAAAATGGCACGGGAGGCTCCCAGAAGTTGCCACGGCATTCAGGGCAACGATCGAGCTCCACGAGGAGCGCAGCGACGAGCTCCACGGCCACCTCGACGACGTGGAGGGCGTGCTGCTCGTGGCCGTCCGGAGGGCTTACCGGGAGGGCTTCTTCGGCGAGGCCTCGAAGGACGGTGGTGCGCTGGCAGGGGATGTCGCCGAGGCCATGGGCGCTGTCAAGGGCGTGAGGGCCCGGTTGCAGTCCCTGAGGGACGGCCAACTGCGCCACAGCCGCGCGGCCGAGCGTTTGGTGCGCCGGCGGGCGCGGGTGACGGAGGTGCTGCGGCTCGTGGGGAAGTTGACCGCCGTGGACGACCTGGAGCAGGAGCCACGTCGGCCTAACCAGAAGCTGCCAGACCTCCGCGCGGATTTCTCGGATCGGCGCTGGAGCACAGCCCTGTCGGCTCCTCCAGTGCCGCCCCTGGCGCGCTCCGCGCGTCATGGCCGGGGGATCCAGCGCCGATCCGAGGCATTCGCGCGGACCTCCGCAAGGAGATGTTGTCTTCCTCTCAGGCTTGGCATCGCTCGGACGTGTGCATTTTTCCTCCGGCGAGGACCATCGAGGAGCATCCTTGATCATGTGGCGTAAAAACCACGCACGAAACCAAAAAAACACAGGGAATGGACGTCCGAGCGATGGCCAGTCTCAGGAGACCGAGCTGCTACTGGGACGCCGCGACTACTCGGGCGCCTTTGCGCTCCTGGAGCGCCACAGCGCGGACCTGGGCGAGCTGGGCGGGGTGGCCGGCGCGCAGGCCTGCCACGTGCGGCTGGGGCGGCTCGGCAAGACGGTGGACCTGGCTGCGCACGCGGACTTCGTCGAGAGGTTCAGCGCGGCGGTGCTCGGCGCCGGCGCAGCTCGGGCGCCTGGCGCCGAGGCGGGCGAGCTGTCGCGGCTCTGCGCCTGCCTGCGGCAACGCGGAGCGCTGGCGCCCCTGGTCGCGCGCACGCTGCGCGACAAGCTGTTCGCCGACTTGAGGGCCTTCCTGCGCACGCAGGCGCGGCAAGCGCTGGCTGACGGCCTTGCGCCCGCCCAGCGCAGCGGGGCAGACAGTACTGCCGACATCTCCGCCGCGCTCGCGGCGATGAGCCACACGCGGTTCCTGGGCTTCTGGGGAGACGTGCTGCGCGCGTGCATGGACGCAGTGGGGCGGTTCGGCGAGTGCGCCCTGCTGGTGGCGAGGGAAGGCGGCGCTTCCAATGAGCTCGCGACGCTGCTGGGCGAGTTTGCGGACACGCTGCTGGAGAAGGCCGGCGTCTTCCTGGTGGCCAGGCAGGCGCCGCACCAGGCCCTCGAGCCGCCCGAGTGGCAGGAGCTCACCTCGCTGACCGCCGACGCCCTGGGCGCGGTGGCCGCCCAGCAGGGGACGTCCGAGGAGCAGCTGCTGGACTTCGGCGAGCCCCAGGGCAGAGTGCTCGGTGATGCAGCCGGCCGCGCGCAGGCCCCGCAGCAGCCGGGCCAGGGCACGGCAGGGCTGGCGCGCGAGCCGGCCGGGGCGCGCCTGCGCGGCGTGCTGGACGCGCAGGCGAGGCTCGTGGCGCAGGCTTTCCATCGGCGGTGCGTGGCGGAGGTCACCAGCGGGCTGCAGCGGGATCGCTGGGAGCGTGCCGACGTGCCGCCAGACGCCCAGCGCGCCCTCGACAGCCTGCTGTCGCACGCGCGGGCCGCGGGCGGGGCTGGCGCAGGGGCGGAGCTCGTCGAAGAGCCAGGGCGCTTTCTGCGGGCCGGTGCCTGCTGGTTCCCGGCCACTCCAGCGCTGCTTGCCTTTCTGCGCCTGCTCGCGACCTGCGTGAGCCTGAGCCGCGAGTGGGGCTGGAGCGCCGCGGATGCCGTGTGGGGCATGCACCGCTTGCTGGAGCACTTCAACCAGCTGGCGAGGACCCTGGTGCTGGGCGGGCAGGCGGTCCACATGGGAGCTCTGAAGAAGATCAACGCGACGCACCTGGCCCTTTGCTTTCAGGATCCCGGACAAGAAACACGGCACGAGCAAAAACTTTCGGAGCTCCGCACAGATGTCTTGGAGCGGCGCGGGACCCCCTGGCGGCGCCTCCAGCTCCGCCCCTGGAGCGCTCCGCGCGCCAGGGTTGGGGGGATGTCCCCCGCCGATCCGAGAAGTCCGAGCAGAGCTCCGAAAATCAATGCGTATCCCGTTTCTCCGACATCTGGCAGCTATCTTCACACCCTGTGCGCGTCGGCTCCCCAGAGGGGCGACGCGCGCTCTCGGTCGAGGGCGCGTGCGCTCTGGCCATGCCGCCCGGGCAACGAGCTGCTATAATGCTTGTTGTGCTGCACGTGCGGTTCGGACGTGCGCCTCCCGGAGGGCGGGCACAGTACCAGCACGTCCATCTGCGCCCCCTCTCGGGCGACGGAAGCCAGCGGTGTCGACTGTACCGGCATGTCGCGCGTAAGCTTAGGTCGGGCATGTCCTCCTGCGGGTGGATTTTGGACGGGAAATAGAACACGCTCCGAACAGATTCAAAGACCATACAACACTAATTGAAACATCGTCCCCAGACGATGCTTTCCCAACCATCCTGAGGTGTTGGGTCCTCGTTTTGAAGAGACACCGCCCCGTGCCACCTCACCTTCTTCCCTCCCATCCTTCCTCCTATCATCATCCTGATGAGCATCATCACCATCATCAGCATCACCACCATCGTCATCATCGTCATCATCATCATCATCAGCAGCAGCATCATCATCGTCATCGTCATCCTCATCGTCATCGTCACCTTCATCATCATCGTCATCGTCACCGTCATCATCATCGCAGTCATCGTCACCATCATCACCACCCATTTCGGAACACCCCTCACACGTTTTGTGGCCCCATGGGGAGCTCCACCGCAGGCCCCAGTGGCTGCGCTCGCGTAGCACCGCCGCGGCCATGTCGGCAAACCCCTCACACGTATCGTCACCCCATAGGGAGTTCCACCGAAGCCCCAAGTGGCTGCGCTCGCATGGCACCGCCGCGGCCATTTCGGCACACCCCTCACATGCTTCGCGGCCCCATGGGGAGCTCCACCGCAGGCCCCAGTGGTTGCGCTCGCGCGACACCACCGCACCCACGTTGGCACACCCCTCACACGCTTCGTGGCCACATAGGGAGCTCCATCGAAGGCCCCAGTTGCTGCGCTCGCATGACATAGCCGCACCTACTTCGACACACCCCTCACACGCTTCGTGGCCCCATAGGGAGCTCCACCGCAGGCCCCAGTGCCTACGCTCGCATGGCACCACCGCACCCATGTCGGCGCACCCCTCACACGCATTGTGACCCCACAGGGAGCTTCACCGAAGCCCAATTGGCTGCGCTCGCATGTCACCGCCGCGGCCATGTCGGCACACCACTCTGACGCTTCGTGGCCCCTATGGGGAGCTCCACCGAAAGCCCAAGTGTCTGCGATCGCATGGCGCCACCGCACCAATGTCGGCACACGGCTCACACATTTCGTGGCCCCATATGGAGCTCCATCGAAGGTCCCAGTGGCTGGGCTCGCATGACACCACCGCACCCATGTCAGCACACGCCTTACACGTATCGTGGCCCCATGGGGAGCTCCACCGAAGGCCCCAGTGGTGCGCTCGCATGACACCACCGCTCCCATGTCGGCACACCCCTCACACGTTTTGTGGCCCCATGGGGACCACCGAAGGCCCCAGCGGCTGCGCTCGCATGACACCACCGCGCCCATGTCGGCACACCCCTCACACGCTTCGTGGCCCCATAGGGAGCTCCACCGAAGGCCCAATTGGCTGCGCTCGCATGTCACCGCCGCGCCTATGTTGTCACACCCCTCACACGCTTCGTGGCCCCATAGGGAGCTTCACCGCAGGCCCCAGTGGCTGCGCTCGCATGACACCACCGCTCCCATGTCGGCACAACCCTCCCACGCATCGTGGCCCCTTGGGGAGCTCCACCGAAGGCCCCAGTGGCTGCGCTCGCATGACACCACCGCGCCCATGTTGTCACACCCCTCACACGTATCGTCACCCCATAGGGAGCTTCACCGAAGGCCCCAGTGGCTGCGCTCGCATGGCACCGCCGCGGCCATGTCGGCACACCCCTCACACGCTTCGTGGCCCCATGGGGAGCTCCACCGGAAATCCCAGTGGCTGCGCTCGCGTGGCACCGCCGCACCAATGTCGGTAAATCCCTCAAACGTATCGTGACCCCATAGGGAGCTTCACCGAAGGCCCCAGTGGCTGCGCTCGGATGACACCACCGCTCCCATGTCGGCACACCCCTCAGACGTTTCGTGCCCCATGGGGAGCTCTGCCGAAGACGATACAAGCAATTGCGTTATTCACAGCCGCATATGGTGGACAGTGTTTTAATACTTCCCCTGTAGAGGAACACGCCCGACTGAAGCGTAAGCTGCCTGCGTAAGGTCGCGCGTCCGCGCCCCAGTTTCCAGTGCAGGATGCCGCGCAGGTGGCCTGCGGAAGCCACCGCGGAAGGTTGCAAGGCCATCTCGCGTATAGGACCCTTTTCGTTGCGTCGCTCTTGCGCTCTTCCTCTGCAGGTCCTGTCCCTTCTGGAGCAGGTCCTCCCCCGGCTCCCGGAGCTGCTGCAGGCCAGCCTCGAGGCCCGCGGCGACCCCTCCGCGGCCCGGGCGCACTTCGACCTGGCGGCGGCGTCGTCCGGGCTTGCGGCGGGGTATGCGGACCACTGCGCCGCGTTGCTGGAGAAGCTCAGCGGCCTGCTGCGGGCGATCTCCGCGGTGGAAAAGTACCGATACCTCTACCCGTCCTGAGGATGCATTTCCTGGGAGGGAGACATCTGATCTTGCCCTGGTCCGAAATCGGGCGTAATCTGGGCGATTCACGTTTAAACCCGCCTAGTTCGGCTTAGTCCCATTTAGTCCCGCTTAATCCGCGGCCATGTCCGGCGTAGCAGCCCCCAAACGGGGCTAAATCGTTTTTAACCCTTCCGACGAGGACCTCCCAGTAGTTGCCTCCCAGCGCTACCCTTCTCTCTTGTTTCGTGGTTTCGGCCTCCTGGGAGGCCCTCGTCGCCACCGCTGGAGGCGCTTCGAAATTCTGGTCAGAACGCACCCAAGGAGAGATCGGCAGAGCAGCGGTATCGGTGCCATTTTTGGTTTCCCCAGATCGGGGAAGCAAAGCTGAGAAACAGAAGCGCACCCCCACCACTTTGGAGAAGTCAAGATAAGCTTGTGTGTGTGTGTGTGTGAGATGCAGGTGTCCCCGATGTCCCGCGAGAGCGCCCGAAACGAGAGAGCACCACCACCAGCACACCTGACCACCCCCTGCCTCTCTCCTTCGGGCGGTGGTGGTGGTGCCTTGCCTGGCCCCCACAGACACGGGACGAAGCTGCCCAAGTGTGCAGACATGTTGCCCCACCAGGAGCGGTGCGAGTTCCACGTGCAGGCGTGGCTGGGTAGCACGCACCCCGAGGCCCCAGAGCTGCAGCGGGAGAGCACCGGCATCGACGCCGGGCCTGCCGCGGCGTCCACGCCCCACCCGGCGGCGGAGGGCCTGGCCAAGGACCCCTCCTCCCTCCTCCCTCCTCCTCTCCTCCTCCTCCTCCTCCTCCTCCTCCTCTCCTCCTCTCCTCCTCCTCCCTCCTCCCTCCTCCTCCTCCTCCTCCTCTCCTCCTCCTCCTCCTCCTCCTCCTCCTCCTCTTTCTCGTCCTCCTCCCTCCTCCCTCCTCCCCCTCCCTCGTGCTCCTCCCCCTCCCTTGTCCTCCTCGTCCTCCTCCCTCCTCCCCCTCCCCCTCCCCCGCGCATCCAGCGGCGTCAACACGTCACGCTTCAGCTGCAAATCCCGACCGCGGTTCTCGACGCGGCGCGGGGCTCTCCGAGCTGGGCCCGTCCGCACGGGTCCCCGGGCCCGAAGTCCAGGTCAGATCCGCGCCAGCGAGGAGGCGCTCGTTGTTCACGCTTCGAGGCCTCCTGGGCAAGCGACTTGTCCTCCGCCAGAGTTTTTGAGGGGCGGCGCGACGCATCGCAAGGCTCGAGGTGCGAAGTTGCGCGACCTGCGGAGTGGAGCGAACGCGGCCCGCGGTGTTTTTTCTCGACGCCTGGATGTCACGAATCGGGAGCCAGAATTCTGAGGTCAAATCATGACTTGGCCCTGGTCCGAGATCTAGCTTGATCTGGCCCAATCCCGCTGAATCCGGTTGACTCCCGCACGATGCGGCTCAATCCAGCCTCATCCGCGGCCCAACGCGGCGTAACAGCCCCCCCCCCAGTGGGGCTCAACCCTCTCTGATCCTTCCGACGAAGACCTCCCAGCAGATGCTTCCTGACACAACAACGACAGGCATGAATGTTCGGACGTCCGCGCGGATCCCTTGGGTGGGAGCGTCCCCCCCCCGTCCCCGCACCCCGTGCGGGGCCGGAGGCGCCAGGGAAGCGCCGTGGGGGCGCGCCGACTTCCGGCCCCAAGAAGGCAGTGTCTTAGCAACGCTCGGGCGCGTGCATGTTTTCGGCGAGGTCCATCGAGGAGCCTTTTGGGCCATCTTGCGAAAACATACGCGCACGAAACCAAACCGAAGCACTCACGGAGAATATACGTCCGAGCGATGGCGAGGTGTGGGCGTCCGAAGTGAGCGAAGCAACGACAGCAGTACGGTCGGACCGAGGTGTAAGATCGAGGTCGGCTTGGGGAGGATGCTCTCGTGTTCTTCGCATCCTGGGGAAGGATGCTCTCGGTGATCTCATGGTTTGGGGTGTTTCGGCTCGCTGAGGGTCTGATGTTCTCGAAGGGTGTTGTCTTGTCTCACGTAGGTCTGGCCGTAATGCGCACAACAGAGCAACTCTTCAGCCGCGCACTCACGCTCTGATGTTTTTGCTGCGATGTCCAGGCTGCTGCTGCTGCCTTCTCCTCTTCTCCTCCCTCCCCTGCTGTTCTCTTTCTCCCACTTAGGCCACGAGGCGACCTCTCCTCGCGCAGGTTTAGAACATGTGAATGTTCGCGACTGCCCCCGCGCGAGTGCTGCTCTCGATCCCCTACGGCTGGATCCAGCTTGTCCACGTTGCGTGAGTTGGCCCAGCCCGAGCTCTCCCGCTTGACTTGACCTGCGTCGCGCCGCCGCGCGGGTGGCAGTGACGCCACAAAGTGTGTGTGTGTGTGTGTGTGTGTGTGTGTGTGTGTGTGCGTGTGTGTGTCCGTAGTTCTTTTGGATCAAGCCTGGCTCAAGGCGCTCTGGCTGAAGGTTGGCCGGCGCGGCCTGCAGGCCCGAGTCTCCCTCTTGACTTGGCCAGCCTGAGGGGCGCCAGGAGGGGCCTCCTCTTCCCGGCGCCCCTCCCGGTGCCACGTCTTTATCTCCTGGCGGGCCGCGGACGGCGCCGCGCCGCGCTCAGCACCGAGCGGCGGCCGCGCGGCTCGCCGCCGCCCTGGCTGCCGCCGGCGGCGGCCCCTCTGGCTTGGCTGCGGGGTTGCCCCGCTGGTCGCTGGCGGGCGCCGCTCACGTGGCGGCCGGCTCGGCCCGCGCCGCGGCCGCCCGTCCGGCCGCTGCGCGCCCCCTCGCGGCTCGCGGCCCCTCGCCTCGTGCGGCGGCCGCTCGGGCGGCTGCCGTGGCCGGCGCGGGCCAGGCCGTTGGCGCCCCTGTGGCGGCCGCCGCCACCGCCGCCGCCGTCTCGCCCGCCGCCGCGGCCGCTGGCGCGGCGGCCGACGCCGCGGCCGCGGCGGCTGCCGGCTCGGCTACCGGCGCTGCTGGCGCGGTGGCCGCGGCTGCTGGCCTCTCCGCGGCGGCTGCTGGCGCGTCTGTTGCTGCGGTGGCCGCTGCGGTTGGCGCCTGCGCCGCGGTCCCCACGGCCGCCGCCGCGGCAGATGACTTTGGCTTCCACGCGCTGGCGCCCAACAGCGCTGAGGACAAGCGGAAGGAGCTGGCGGCTGAAATCGCCAACAGGCGTCTGGCCACGATGGCGACCAACGGCATGTTTTTCCATGACGTCACGGCCGGCCCCGCCTGGGACGACTGGGCGCGCTGCGCGGGCTCGTCGCCGCGCGCGTTCGGGAGCGAGCTGGTCGTGCGGGGCCCCGTTGGCTAAGAACCCGCTGGCCTCACCGCGGATGGTGGCACGGAGAGATTCGACAGCGGGCGCCAGGCCGAGCTGGGTCACGGCCGCGTGTCCGCACTGGCGACGATAAGCTTCATCACTTCAGACATCACCAGCAGGCAGGACCCCGTGTACTTCTGGGACCCCATCGGGCTCACGGCGGATGGTACGAGGACCTCGCCAGGAGGCGCCTCTCCAGCTCGGCCGATCAGTGTACCTGTCGCCGCCCGCCTGCTGGAATACCACGGGCAATCCGAACGACCTCGACGCGATCTCCCAGTTTCTGACGTCCAGCGGCGCTCGGAACAAGCCGAGGAAGTTAACGGGTGGCATCGCTAATTGTCTTCTGGTCGCGGACAGACCGGACGGGCTCGAGGCGACCTCCCAGGCCTCCGCGGCGAGCTGCGCGCAGACCGTGGCCCTCGGCACGTTCTGCGAGCTGTCCCGGACCCAACCCGCCGACGCCACTGCTGCCACAGACGACATCGGCTTCCAGGAGCTGGCGCCGAGAGGTTCTGGAGATCGCCGAAGGTTGCCTGGCCGCGATGGCCGGTGGGCCGCTCCCCTTTGCGCGCCGGTGGGCAGCCCCACCTTCCGCTGGCGGGCCGCTCCCACATCCGCAAAGGTGGGCCGCCCCCTTTTGCGCTGGCGCGCACAGGTGGGCTGCCCCCCTCCGCCAGGCGCCTCCTTCCAGGCCGGTCTCCCTCCGCGCTGGCGGGCCGCTCCACTCCGCGCTGGACGGCCGCTCCCCCTGCGCCGGTGGGTCGCCCTTTCCCGCGCAGGCGCTCCTGGCCTGTGCTTTGGCCGCCCCCTCCTCCCGCGCCGCTGGACTGCTGGTCTCGGCGGCCTCCGTCCTGGCCGTCGTCCGGGCGGCCACGGCTGCCTCTGGCCTGGGCCCTCGCTCGACCGCCTGATTTTCAGGCCGGCCTCTTGGCCGTCCACCGGTCTACTGCTGGGTGGGTCGCTGTCTCCCCGCCGCCGCGGCGCCTTGCGCTGCCCTCCCCCCCTCGCGCCTCGTAGGCCTTCTGGTCTCGGAGCCCGCACATTCACCGCTGGTGCTCCCAGCACCACGTCGCCCCTTTGTTGGGCGCGACTCCTCGGCCACCGTCCTTCGCCTGCACGCCGGCCTGCGCGCGCCGCCCTCAGTGCGGCGCACTCGTGTCTGCCGGCGCTGCGCTCTTTTCGCCTCCCGCCGCGCCTCGTAGGCCCCCTGGTCTCGGCGCCTCGCTTCTTCGCTGGTTTCCGCTCGCCCGCCCACTTGCTGGCACTCCCAGCTCCACGCCGCTCCCCCTGGTGGCGTGGCTCCGCCTCTTCGTCCTGTGTCCATCGCCTTTACGCCGGCCTGCGTTTGCCGCCCTAGTTCTGCGCTCTCGCGGCAGCCTGCGCTCCGCCTCCACGCCTCCCGCCGAGCCTTGTAGGCCCCCTGGTTTCGGCGCTACTGCCCACCCATGGGTCCGCCTGCTCAGCCGGCTCCCCCATCGGTGTGGCTACCGCATCGCACGCGCTGCTCCCCCACCTGGCTTTGCCCGGCCGCCGCTGGGCTGCCGTCCCCCCCCCCAGCTGCTGCCCGGCCACGGCTGGTTCTCCCTCCTCGGCGCTCCTCCCGCCGCACCCTGTGACTTGCCTGAGCGGGCCCGGCTTCCCCTCTTCCGGTCGCGCCGGGGCCTCTTCCTTTTCCCACGTGTTTCGCGGCCCGAATTTGCATCCAGTGCGCCCCCCTGATGCCCGATCGCCGGAGCAGTCACCCTCTGCCCAGCCGACGACGCAAAGTGTGTGTGTGTGGCCTGTGTCTGTATGTCTGTGTGTCTGTCTGTCTGTGTCGGTGTCTGTGTCTGTGTCTGTGTCTGTATATGTATCTGCATCTGCATCTGTGCCTGTGCCTGTGCCTGTGCCTGTGCCTGTGCCTGTGGCTGCGGCTGTGGCTGTGTCTGTGTTCTGTGTGTCTGTGTTTGTGTCTGTGTCTGTGTCGGTGTCAGTGTCTGTGTCTGTGTCTGTGCCTGTATCTGTGTCCGTGCCGCTGTCTCTGTCCGTGTCTCTGTCTCTGTCTTTGTCTCTGTGTCTGTGTCTGTCTGTCTGTCTGTGTGTCTGTCTGTCTGTGTGTCTGTCTGTCTGCGTGTCTGTGTGTCTGTGTGTGTGTGCATTTGTGTGTGTGTGTGTTTGTGCGTGCGTGTCCCAGGTCTCGCCGTACCACTCGCGCGCCGGCTCGCTGCCTCCCGGCGTTCCCCTGTTTCCTTCCGTCGGCCACATGTAAAGCCTTCCGTCGGCCACATGTAAAACTGACCCTTCGCTGGCGTGGCCTCATGCGCGGGCTCATCGGCCCCCCCCCGATCGCTGGGCGCGATGCGACAGTAGCGGCCTGCCCGGCTGGGTTTGGCCCTTTTCGCGCCCCCCAAAAGCCGCGCACCGAAGGTAATTTCTACCGGCGGCGAGCCCGGGGGGGGGCCTTCTCAGAAGGCTCGGAAGTCCCTGGGCCTTCTGAGGAGTTCTCTATGCTTGCCCCGAAAGCGCCGAACGCCTCCCAGAAGGCCAGAGGCTTTCAGAGAATCCCCGCCGCGTTCTGAGAAGACCCTCTCTTTCTCAGTTCCCCCCCGGCGCTCGCCGCTGATCTAACCCAGGGCCACTCTTGCGTCCAGCCGACTCCGCCCGCGTGCCCTCCCGGACGGCTCTCAGAGCTTCCCCGTGGTGGAACTTCGGGGGCAGCGCCTTCGAGCATCGGCCGCACGGCAGGTTTGGTTGCTGCTCGGGCTCTCTCCCTCTGTCCCCGCCCCTCTTCTTCTCTCCCTTGGGTGGCAAGTCGTGGGAGCCTTCCGTAATAGCTGGCTCTCGCGAGTCGCCCAAATCGACGCTCATCGACGCCACATCGAAGCTATTTCGACTTTGCAGCGACGCTGCTCGACGCTGAACCGGCGCTATCCCATCGACTCCCGGACGCTAATCGACGCTGGCGCGCTTTAAAGACGGAGTCACAAAGGGTACACAAGGCTCCCATGATTTGCTACCGACCGAACTCCTCTCCGCTAGTTGTGGTTTCCCGCCTGCCAACTCCTCGATGCACAAAGCTTTGAGGAGTCTAGCTGTTTCTGGCCACAGAGATCTGTCCGTTCTTGGTGCCGAGGAGCGAGTGAGCCGCCCACGTGCTAAACACACAGTCTGCGCACTCGAAAAACTAGAGCTAACTTTTTGAATCCAGTCTCGGGCGAACTTTTTCGACGGTCGTCCCCGTCGTCCGCCCTCTCGCCTGCTGCTTCTGCCCTGCACCGCCCTGCGATTCTGCCTCAGGGGGGGGGGTACGTGAGCCACGCTGCCTCACGAGGGAGGGAGGAGGAGGCGGAGGAGGAGGAGGAGGAGGAGGAGGAGGAGGCGGAGGGGTGAGGTGGGAGGAGGAGGAGGAGGAGGAGGAGGAGGAGGAGGAGAAGGAGGAAGAGGAGGAGGAGGAGTACCTTGCTTTGAGGGTGATCCCCCCTCGCTTCCGCCGGCGATTGCACTCTTCGGCGCGTCGGAGGCACAGCGCGTGCCAGGCGTGCCGCAGCTGAGGGCCTCGGGCCTCTTTCCGGCGCCACATGCGGGCGGCGGCACCGCGCGCCGCGATTCCGCGACCCCCGCACGCCAGTGCGGTTGATTACACAGGAGGAACAAAAAAAACACAGACACAACGAATCGTCGACTCCCAGAAGATATGGTAAAATATGGGAAGTGGGGGGGAAGACAAAAACAAAGGAAATATGTCGGAAAATATGGGGAATCTGCTTTATTTGTGTGTATTTATTCGTGTGTCCCAGAGCCCCTTCAACTACACCGCACTCTGGCGGGGAAGGGCAGCACCGCCATCCGTCCGACGGATGTGGTGCGGAAGAGAGTCCTCCAAGAGATCCGAGGGCTTGATTTGTTCCGCTTAGGGCCCCTGAAAGTCTCGACACTGGAAGGCCGGGCCTTCTTGCCTCAGGGACGTCGACAGCGGGGGCGATGCCCAACCGAGAATGCCAGGCGGGATACCCAGGGAGCACCAGCACGCTTTGGGCCTGGCAGCCGCGATATGCAGGGTTCTCCCAGGTGGGTTCTCCCTGGTGGGTTACAGTCGGGGCCCTGAAGAAGGAACCCTTTTGGTTGGGGAGGGGCTCCGCGTTCCTTAATTGTTTCAAAGCTTGCCTCAGGTTTTTCTTATGTTTTCGATAGGAAATCGAAGTTTAACTCATGGAAAAAAGGGCCTCGTTCCTTATTTCGGGTTCCTTAGGTCAACGCCCCGACTGTACGATCAGATGGGGTCGTAGGATCGTGCCGCATCGCCGATGCATCGGCGATGCGGCTCGATATGAAGCCCGCTTGTCTCCACGCCGACGCATCGCCGACGTCGCCAGTGTATCGCCGACACATTGGCAATTGATCGGCGATGCGGTGCGATCCTCCTACTCGTCTACTTGGACCCCGTCTGGGAAGCCTCTATACGGGTGTGTGAGGCGCGTTGTCGGGAGCCTTCTTCCTCAAGTCTAGAATTTCCCACCTGTCTGTTCCTTGAGATCCGACGTTGCCAAACAATCGCGTCACTGCAAGAAGTCAAGAACCCCGGACCTTGTCTTTCCGTAGCAATTTTCAGGCCAGATCGATCCATGAGGGCCCCGGGGCCCGAAGTCCTGCGAAGACGCCCAGCTCGACAGAACATGAGACGCCAGGGCATCCAGGTAATCAAGTCCAACAACCCCAACTTGTCGACGTGGGACAAATCACGTCGCCGGGGATCTGCTCCTGCCCTTCCGGCGTGGACGGGGAGCCTCGAGACGGGGGTCAATGCACACGGGGGTCCGCCGCAGCGCGGCATCCTTGCAGGATCCTGCAAGGCCAGGGGCGCACAAACCCGGGCGTGGGCGCAGGATCCTGCAAGATCCCGCTGTGGGGGCCGCTCTTTGGGGTGGGAGTTGTTCTGCAAAGGAATTGGCAGCTTTGGGGGGAATTGGCTGCTCTGGGGGCGCTCCACAAAGGGGGGTGCAGGATCCTGCATGCTCGCTTCGTGCTCTCCCGCGTTGCCTCTCTTGGGGCGGCCTGTGGCCGCCTTGGGCCCCTCAGTGGGCCGTCTGAGAGCCCTCGCTGGGCCGCCCGGGCGCCCTCTCGGCGAGGACGTGGCCGCCATGTTCGGCCTGCTGGCGAAGACGCTGGGCGCCGAGGCGGTGCAGCGAGTCTTCGCCAGGGCCTTCGCGGACGTCGCCGCGGGCGTGGAGCAGCGGCTCGCCTGCGGGGGCCTCGGCGCGCCGCCCAGGCCGCGCTGCTCGTCGTCGGCGTCGGCGTCGTCGGCGGCGTCGGCGTCGTCGTCGGCGTCGGCGTCGTCGTCGTCGTCGGCGGCGTCGGCGTCGTCGGCGTCGTCGTCGCCGTCGCCGTCGCCGTCGGCGTCGGCGTCGTCGTCGGCGTCGTCGTCGTCGTCGTCGCCGCCGTCGTCGGCGTCGGCGTCGGCGTCGGCGTCGTCGTCGGCGGCGCCGTAGCCGCCGGGCGCTGCAGCCGTGTCTCACCGAGAGTTTTCGCCCGGGTTCGGGCCTCCAGGCCCTCACGGACCGGTCGGGATATGCTAAGAGTGACCTTTCGGCGGAGTGTTTTCTGGTGCGTGCACACTGGGGTCCCCAGATGGCCTTCACGCGATGCGGTAGCAGCGGCCTGCGCGCTCCGGTTCGGCCTCTCCGCGGCCCTGGAAAGTCGCGCGCCAGAGGTCGCTCTTGTCTGGGGTTACTCTCACGTGTCGCTGCCTGCAGAAGAGAAGTGGGGTCCAGGGTGCTGGTAGATATCGAGGATGCCGGCGGCGCATCACCGGCCGCTCCCTGGGAGTTTGCCGAAGTCGTGCGCATCATCGAAAGTCGTGACGCGGCGCGTATGCCAGCTATATACTACAGGTGCCCTGCCTGTTGTAGATAATTAGCTTCGCTTGCTGGTCCAGACGACGCCTACCGCTCCCTGTCCGCCGCCTCGGAGCCGCCGACCAAAAACAACAATGCCAGCTATAGTGTCCCGGACACGCCTGTTGCCGCCTGACCTTTGTCGCGCGGCCGCCGACCAAACAAATATGCCAGCTATCAAATGGCCGTCGGCCCATCCCGCCACCGTGCTTGGGTTTTGGGTCGGAGTCCTCATGGACGCATCTTGGGGTCTCTCGAGAGCGCTCTCGGGGGCCTCTGCGGGAGAGTTCAGGGGCTCTTGGGGGCCTCCTGGGGGCTTCTTGGGAGCCTCTTAGGGCCCTGTTGGGGCCTTCTGGGGCTCTCTTGGAGCCTCTTTGGGGCCTCCCGGGGGCCTCTTAGAGCCTCCTGGGGGCCTCTTGGGACCGAAAGCTCGACATGTTCATTCGGGTTCCTCTTCTGGGTTTCTCTTGGGGCCGTCCTGGGGCCCCTGTTGGGCCGTTCTGGGGGCCTTTTGGGCCGTCTTGGGGCCCTCTTGCGCTGCCTTGGAGCCCTCTTGGGGGCTTGTTGGGCCGTCCTGGGGCGATTTTGGGGGCCTCTTGGGCCGGCCTGGAGCGTCGGTAAGCCGAAATAGCAAAACGCGAGAATTTTTCCAAAACCATGAGCAAATCATGATTTTTTGTCTCTTGGAGCTCTGTTGGGGTTGCTATTGGAGGCCTCGTTGGCCGTCTTGGAGGCGTTTTGGGCCGTTTGAGGCAATCTTGGGCGTCTTGGAGCGATCTGGAGCCGTCTGGAGCCTCTCTTGGACTGCTTGGGACTCTCTTGGGCCGGCTTGGGGCGCTCTTGGGTCGTCCCCGGGCTGTTCCGGACCTTGAAGGAGGGGGGGGGGGGGCTGGCGGCAGAGTGGGGCCCCGTCGGAGGGACTTTCAAGGAGGTTTTTGACCAGGAACTGGCGAATGGGGCTAAAGACTGCGCCAAACACTCTGTCAGAGAGGTCTCGCACGGCCCAACCCGCAGGGCGGGAGCGGCCGGATCCGCAAGGGTTTCGCCCCCTGCCGCCGGCCCCCCTCTCTTAGAATGGGATTTGCCAGAGGTGTGTTGGGATGTCTGGACGCCGACGTGAAGCAATGTCGAGACTTCTTGCGAGGGCTAATATCTTATTGGACGGTTTGCCCTACAAGCCTGAAGAACTGGGTTTGCATTGACGCGAACATCGCAGACTCTACGACGGTTGATTGCCTCGAGGACGCAACTTTTGCATACTTCGCGAGTTTGTATCGTTTCGGGGACGCGCATATTGCATGATTTTCGAAGGGGTTATGGCCTCGAGGTCGCGAATATTGACAAATTCACGAGGTTGGGCAGACCCGGGGACGCGAATGTGGTGTAATTTAGAAGGGTTTTGTGGCTTCGGGTGCGCGAAAATAGCGTAATTTATGCGGGTTGGTGGCCTCGGGGACGCGAACATTTAGAAATTTACAGAAGTTTATGGCGTCGGGGAGGGGGGGCGCAAGCATTGCTTAATCTACGTGGGTTTATGGCTTCGGGGACGCAGCTATAATTTAATGTATGAAGGAATATGGCTTCGGGGACGCTGATATTATGCAGTGTACCAGGGTTCCTGTCCTCGGGGGCGCGAATCTGGAGTAATTTATCAGGGATTATGGCCTCGGGGGCGCGAATATTATATATTTTACGTGTCCCACGCCCCCCAGGAATTCAGACAACGCGATCTGGGCGCGGTAGAAAGTTTGGTTTGGGCCCCCCCCCCCCCCCCCCCCGCGCGCTCAGCAAAAAATTACAGTAGGAAGCAGAAAGCAGGACTGGAACCCTGGACACTTGAAACTGGAATTGGTGCAGGGAGCATGTAAGCCTAATCTTCGCAGCCTGATGGCCCCGCAATGGGGGCCAGCGGATGACGGCGGGAAGCGTCTTCGAGGTACGCGAGGCGAGCTGGACGTTGTGGCTGAATCTGCAACATATCTAACAATTCATACTATTAGAGGGTAGCTAATTGCACGGCGTTCTTCGTTGGCGGATGACGGGGAGCGCGCTCAGACTCGAAGAGTCGCGCGATGCACGTTTGTTTAGACTTGGAAGGAATTAGCAACTGGGGGAGTCTGATGGGGGAAGGGTTTCGGGGTACCTTTGAACCTGGCTGATGACGGGAAGCGTCTTCGAGATAATTCGACGAAGCGAACTGGGCGTTGTGGCTGACTCTGCAACATGTCTCATAATCTCTTACTAATAGAGGGAAGCGGATCGCACGCCATCGTTCCGTGGCGGATGACGGGAAGCGCGCTTAGAAGGCCTTGGCTCGAGCGATTGTTTTGGTTTTTCTCGTGTCAGCGGGGTCGCAAGCCCCCGCGCGGCATGATCCTCAGTCGATGGCGGGACATGTTGTGTGTTCGCTTCTCTTCTTATCGCCATCGCTAGCCGAAGTACCCAACGCTGGGGGGCCGAACTTTCGGTGGCGGCGCGACCGCCGTAGAGCTCCATTTCGTCGGGCGTCACTCATGACGGGAGCGAACCAGTGCACGGCATGAGGAATTATCACCGAGCCAGCCGGCCCTTTGGCCGCCAGGGGGTGGCCATGGGTCAGGGCCCTTCTTTCGGAAGACCAGGACGTTGTGGTAAAGCCAAGCTCAGTGGATCCATCTTACGGTGTGACACAAACGAACGGATGGGCTCTGGCGCACGGGTCGGCGTCAAATGTTTCTTGCCACGTGGGACACTGCACTCACCACGGTGGCGCCCCACTGCGGACGTTTGGCTCGAGGCCTTAATTGCAGATGGTTTCTATAATTGTTCCCGCTGTGATTGCACCTGCTAAACGGCGTCTGCCGGCGCGTGCTAAGTGTTTCCTCGACACCGTGGATCTCCAGACCATTTCACGAGCGAGGTCTACAATGTATCGGAAGGCACGCATCGCGTCCACAAGGTGGCGAATATGGGACTCTTACTCGTCGCGGTGGCTCGGTGTCAATTCGGTCACCCGGCGCAGGTTTTGCGGCGGACGGCTCGCAGTTCAGTGATCTCAGGGCGCGCGCGAGCGGACAGTTGACTCCGCGGGCCACGGCGACCCGTAACATCCCGCGCCCCAGCCGTGCCAAGTGACGCGCCGAATTTTATTTTGTTCAGTTTTGTTGTGTCTTTTTGTTTCTTCTTCCCCGACGCCTGTGCTTTTCTTCTCTGCCTCGATTCCCAGGCCCGCTGCTTTGAGACTTTGAGTTCGGCTCGGCCTGCAGCCGCAGGCAGGTGGTCGACCTGACTGTCTGCCGCCCCTCCGTGTCCCACGTCGAGCGCTGCCGACTTTGCATCTGCTGGTAAGGGCGGCTCTTGTGGCAGTGTATTTTGCTCATCCTGCACGCTGCGCGTTGCGCCGTTTGAATCCGCGGCCTGCCGCCGGGGCTCGGCCTGAGGGCCGTGATCTGTCGTGCGGGCCTTCCACTGGTGGGTGGTAGCCTCGTATGTGACTTCTGCGGACGCGCGCGCTAGTCGGTCCTGTGGCTGGCTATGCGGGAGCTCGCGAGACCTCTTAGAGTGGGGTTGCGTCTTCAAGATAGCGCGCTTAGATTTGAAGAGTCGCGCGATGGGCGTTGCGTATCGGCCCAGATGTGAAAATGTTTATCAAGCGGGGGGTCCAGGGGGGGAGCGGCGGCGGGGCGCGGCCTCCACCGTGGCGCGGTGGTCGACGGGAGGCGCGCATGTAGATTCGAAGAGTCGCGCGATGGGCGCTGCCCACGGGCCCGGAGGGGAAGGCATTTACCACGCGGGGGGGGTCAGGGGGGGGGCGGCGGCGGGATTCGGCCTCCGCCGCGACGTGGTGGATGCAGGAAGCGCGCTGAGACTCGAAGAGTCGCGCGATGGTCGTCGTTCTGGGCCCGGAGGGGGAATTCTAGACGCTTCGCGCATCCCCGCCAGCCCGTCCAGGAACGACGCCCAGGCGAGTAGAGGGTCGTCCTGAAGGGCTTCTCGGCGTCTTGGGTGCCTCGGGGGGGCCTCTGTGGGCCGTTCGGGATCCTCGTTGGGGCCTCCTGGGGGCCTCTTAGGGCCTCTTGGGGCCATCTTGGGGCCTCTTGGGTCCTCTGGGGGGTCTCTTGGGGCCTCTTGGGGGTCTCTTGGGGGCCTCCTGGGGGCCTCTTGGGGGGCCTCTTGGGGCCATCTTGGGGCCATCCTGCGGCCTCTTGGGGGGCATCGGTCAAGAGGGTTCCTTAATTAGAGCCCCCCCGCAGGAACTCCAAACATTGTCTCCTGTACCGTTCTGGGACCGCTCTTGGAGCGCTCTTCGGCGCTCTTGGCGCCGTCATGGGGCTTCATTGGGCCCTTTTTGGAGCTATCTTGAGCCATCTTGGAGCCATCTTGACGCCTCGGATGT